AGACGTTTTGACTGCAAGATTGTGCGAAACTATTGGCGAAAATCCTTGAAAACCGCAAATCATAACTCAAATCATAACTCAAATCATTAGACGATTGCAATAGTGTTCAGTGAATTGGTTACGAAAACATTTATATTTATTGATAACTCATTGACGCGTGAAATGAGTGACTCGGATACAAATGGTCGCACATTTAAGCTGGTGTTCATCGGGGACTCGGGTGTAGGGAAGACTAGTCTGGTTGAGCGCACAGTACGTAACAGTTTCAACGAGAGCACCGACTTAACAATTGGGGCCGCTTTTCATAAGTACGTACTGCGAACCGACAGCAACAGCACCGTTACCTTTAATATATGGGATACGGCGGGACAGGAACGGTACCGATCGCTGGGACCCATATATTATCGCGGGTCCGACGCGGCTATACTTGTCTACGATATCACGAATACTAATAGTTTTGAAAACATCGAGTTTTGGATATATAGCCTGAAAAGTGTTTTGGGCCAGGACATTGTCATGGCTTTAGTCGGTATGTTTGTACTTTATATTTTCTACAGCGCATACCTGTCCCCAGTGGGACTCCCCATACACTCCTACATCTACTTTAGTTTATTAATTTTATGTCAAAACACTCACGGGTTTCAATATTTTTTGATTTTTAATTTGCTTTAATTTATGTAAATTTGTTTATTTAATACAAAAGTCGAGCGATATATTAAACTTTCACATAACTGTACTATCAATGAGTAGAGTATATGAAAAATATTGATTTAATTCATATGTGTTTTAAAAATGCGTGGGCATACACCATCAGTCATAGAAATTACATTTTGTGATTATATGGATGAATTTAAATTCAAATACCAAAAATATTTTAATAGACTTAATAATAGCAAAATAATTGCTTGATAAGTATTTTACTTGGAAAATAGAATTATATTTTTATAATAAATACAATTAAATATAAAACTAACATTATTAAGATATTAATGCATTAGTGGTTTGAATTTGAAAACTTTATTGATTATTATAATTAGCTTATAGATTCTACACTATAGACTAGCGTATAAAAATGAGCAAAAACAAATTCAAATAATAGCAATTTTTAATTAATAAAAATAGGAAATAAGTCGGATTTAGAGCACCGGCGGTCTGTGGACTACAAAGAGGCCAAACGGTTTGCCAACAAAAATGATCTCATTTTCATGGAAACCTCCGCTAAGACGGCCCTCAATATCGATCAAATGCTTAAGAAGTTATCCCAAGAGTTAATTAAACGTAAGAAATGCGGTGATAATAGCGGTCACCATCAAAATGGTACTCAACTTAAGCTCGACAAACATAGTAAGCCTTATATTAAGAGAAAATGCTGCTAATCAGTGATAATAAAAGTGCCTTGGACCAAACTTTTGCACATGTATTATTTAATGTCAATTAATACCTTGCACTCTCATACTGTAGTCACTAATTAGATAATAACTGTATATTAATGAGTATATATGAAATATTTTAATTTTGTAATTATGTAATTTATTATTTAATTAATACCTTTTTATTAAGTTAACTTGTATATTAATATGAATGAAATTAATTCTGTGAATTAAATTAAATATTGTTAATCTTTAAAAAATTGATTTACAAATTCAATGTACATATAAATGCATTTAAATAAACTCAAACCATTGTCATTGTGTGACCCGTTTTTAATTTTTAATATAAGTAAAATATATAAAGTGTTAAAAGGTGTTACACATTTAATTAAATATATTTATTATTAACCACATAATATATTTATTATGTAGAGTTACTTTGAAAAACATAAAACTAATGTGTAATTTTCATAAAAGCAATGCATGATTTTTTGAGCAGAAAATGTATTTTTAAAATAATAAAATAAATCTCGTAAATGTGTAAAAAACAAATACTTTCAAAGTAATAACAAAATGGATACAAATATATCAACGATTTTGGTTACAAAATATACATAATATTCACTAATTGAGGGTTGACTATAGAGTGAAATGAAAATACAGTGTCATTATATAAATAATTTGCATTATTATTAAAATTTGTGTTGTATTTCTGTAGTAAATTATTCATATTACAACACTGGATCCTTTGTAATAATGTTATTACTGTACAATCATTTTCTTAGCACTCAATTGATTATTTCACTCTAAAAGCATTGTATTTTAAATGTGAAATCAACTCAATGAATTTAAGCATGGTTATTATTCTTAATAATATTCGCGTGTAAAACAATTAATAATAAAATTAATTTTTGTAAGACAATTAAAATTAAACTAAAATTCTTAATTCAGTAATACGATAATAAAAGCACACAATCATTACTTATAATATAATATTATGTAAAAATATACTTAGAATCACATATTCTGTACAGAATTACTCAATTAATAATATATAAAATATTCTTCAACTCGATTAATAAAATTCATTAATGAGAAAAACCATTTAATGATTGATTGATGAGAATATTATAAATAATATAATATTCTTATCGTTTAATGACTTCATTATACAAGTGATGCAAAGCTCGACACGAAATGTATGGAAACAACACAACAAAAGGCAATCAATTGTTTATCAAATGGTTTTCCTATCGGTTTCTTGTTGTTTCCAATCGCTGTATTCAACAAATCGTTTTCCATTAATTGGCGGCAATTTAATGCCATTTTTAGCCTTTGGTTTTGTGGTACTTATAGCCAGATTCTGGTGCGACTTTGATACCGGCCCTCTCGTCAAACTAGCCATACCAGGCATACCATTGGCCTCGGCATCGGACAACTGGCGCCCAAAACGGCTGGTGTTTGCCATCAAACTCTCATTAATGGACTGTTTATGACTGTAATTATTGTTTGCATTATGTTTGACACCGTTTTTGCCGGCGTGTCGTTCCCTGTTATCCAACGCCTCCCTCAACGTATTGATCACTGATATGCACTCGTATTGGTTGGCCTCGTAGGCCAAGTCCTGAGCACTTTTATTGTCATTGTTTTTGAGGTCAATATACTTTTTGGCATCAATTCTCTCTGAGAGTATCAGGTGGTCGGTGAACACACGCAGCACCTGTACCTGACCATACCCTGCCGCTAACATTATCGCTGTATTACCCGCCTTATCGCACAGCTCACAATTGGTTACATCCTAGCAATTAATATACTTATAGTTATTATTCAGACATTTGTGTCATTAGTGTGCGTTAATTACGAAAATTGTTCATATATTTTTTAATTGCATTAACAGTGTTACAAATTGTTAATTTACTATTAAATCAATTATAATTTATGGCACATTGTTATTAATGAAGCATTTGTGATATGTATTATTTGTGTGAATCATTAATAAATTATAAATGGCTAATAAATTAAACAAAACTATAGTCTGATTGTGCATCCAATGAGTGCTAATAATTAAATTATATCTACGAATAGATATCTCGTAAGTGTGTACTGATTGAAGAGTGCATCCATTAAATTATTAAAACTTTTGTAGTCATAACACTTACGTAAGACAGGAGTACTTTGACATAATCTGCCTGTCCATTGATGGCCGCGTGTATTAATGGCGTCAAACCATAGCAATCACACAGATTAGGATTGGCCCGGTTGTCGAGCAATAGCCGCCCAAACCTCTCCCGATTATACCAGTTATCATAACCCGTCAGATATATGGACACCATTATGAGTGGTGTTCGTTCACAGGAGTCCCTGGCGTTCACGTTTGGGCTACCGTTCCTTACCAACAGCTCAAACTGACTGTTCAATTGATAGTATGAATGATTACACCAGTTTTAAATTCATGAGGGTATTTGAGTTAGCGATTGCTATATGTATGTACAGAATATTCAAAGTGTTGCATTTTTGTGAGTAACAAATAAAGTGCTAATATTTATTATACTTTTCCAAAGCGTATTGTAAATATTAATATACGATATAAATATTAAAAGCATTTATAATATTGCTTTGTTTGCATTATTGCCTTTCAGTCTAAATAAACTCTTTTTGAAATATTAGAAATGTTTTACTTTTACTGACAGTATATTTGTTAGTATTTCACTCGACATTAATATTGATTTTTATATATTTTAGTTTTTACACGTTTAAAAACTTTTTTAGTAAATTAACTATTTTTATCAATTAATTAAATATAAAACTTAATTTTGCATAGT